GGACAGCTTCTAGTCTCCACAACCAGGGACTGTAGACACCGTTTTACCAAAACAGGACAGCTTCTAGTCTCCACAATCAGGGACTGTAGACACCGGTTTACCAAAATAGGACAGCTTCTAGTCTCCACAACCAGGGACTGTAAACACCGGTTAACAGGGCAGCTTATAGTCTCCACAACCATGGACTGTATACACCGGTTAACCAAAAAGGACAGCTTCTGGTCTGAATTTACAACCAGGGACGGATTTCAAATTATGTCAGCAGCCGACGAATGAAGCGGAAAATGAGATTACATACATAAAATCTTGCATTCTGAATACATTTTAGCTAACTGTTAACGATTCACACACACACACACACGTGCCCACAACCAGGTGAATGCACCTTAAACGATTTGATAATGGAGATATACAGCTGCGCCTCCCCTCTAGGGCTCATTGGTGAGGCTAGGGGCCAAAAAGTTGGAAATCAAAATCGTCAAAGCTACTGTTGAAATTAAGGGCGAGTGGTACATAAAATCCCTTAATTTATGAGACTAATTTTTAAATTTGACAATCCACACTGTTTCATATTTAGATTAATCTAAATCGCCCCGTATAATCAAAGGCTTTTAGTGAATAAACACTGTCGTATACTGAGCATGGGTTTCGGAAGTCCGGTGTATTTCCCCTAATGCGCGTGTTAATGATGTGGTATGGCCGAGAATGCGTGATGATCCTGATGGAACAGAAGCGATATTTGTGGATTTTTTTTACATCATGTGGTTGAGAATAGGTCGGAAGGTCACGTTGTTTGATGTAAGGGTTATTTCACAAACACGCGACATGTTATACCTTTTATAGTGTTCATATTAGGAATGTTTCCTGGAAAACAGCTGGTGAATATATTGCAGTCCTTGTTTGATTTTCCCCCCATACAAATAAAGAACCGTCAGTGAGGCTACGTGTACTTATATTATATTGATATATTGTGATTCCCGATTGATGTTATATTTTTTCATTGACTTATGAGTGCTTGTAGATAATATTTTTTACATATATTCTAGTGAAATCTTTCTGCCTGTATACCTTTGAGCTGCCGCCCCTCTAAGTTCACGCGTCGCTCATTCAATGCAAAAAGGTAGATTCTGAAACGAATTATATAGAAGCTGAAGGCTTACGGCAGCTAGCTATATAGAATTGTAAACTCGAAATAACCTTAGCTGGTGGCAACGACAGAGTCAAGGTGAGATCAGATCGATACTCCAGGCTAGTCGGGGCTTGTAGAACACGGTAAAATACATAGCTCCATTGCTGACACCAGAGAAAATGCACAAGGACATTGAGAAGCCAATGTCTTGCTTTTATCCGATAAGATCAATTTTACCATTGCAAAGCACCATGTAATGGTAAATGGATTACCATAAATTACCTAATACATACAGCGTACTGAAGAAATGTATCTTCAGAGCTGAACGCCATGCCGTTAACGGAGATGTGGAAATACACACTTAATAGGATTTGGTAATTGACATGCAAGATAGTTAACAAATGGCGTTTCCGATGTGGTCACAAATGATGCCGTGCGAAAGGTCATAGTTCAGCACAAACATCGTATTAGGATCGATGATGCTGATTTCAATTATAACCAAACTTGGTACAGGAAATGCTATTTCTCGGGCACACTAAATTGATTAAAATCCCAAGATGACTGTCTTGTCATTTCAGATTAAGAAACCTTTTAAATGATCAATAAAGTTTTACAGCAAACGAAGAGTGTGAAATGAGCTGAAACAGAAATCACTCGGACCTTTCCGTCATACCTCTTTCTTGCCGGAAAAGCCCGAATTATTCTCGCTTGGTACCATCCCTAAGGGTCAAACTAGTTTTAAGACCATCTTTGTCAAAAGAAAAGGGCTAACGTCAGGAAAGTGTCCCATTTTCTTTGCCATACCTTATTCCTTATTTTGCTTTTGGATTATCTTTCCAGGGTACATGGACAATATTCGGAGGGAGAACGACCGGCTTGTGTTGATACATGTTCCCGAGACCTACGACCTTCACCTTGCAAGTATGTTTTCGTCTTCACAGACATGATTACTATTCAAATATTTAATTCGTATGTCGAGGATACTATTACATTTAAACTACTTGTTCATGTGAGTAGATCGACACGAAACAGTGTTGACATTTGACATTTGCGCCCGTTGGTAATTTATGCTTATTTTAACTATTTAATGTGTCCGCAGATAAGAGTTGAATGTAGTTTTCCAATCAGGTTCAAAACGTCCTACGATACTTATTCATATGTAAATGAAACATTAAAGCTGTGTTTTATGAAGTTTAATTGAAATATATTTGTATGTAATAGTTGTATTTAAATGAATATTGGATCATAAACATATTTGTCATAGAGAACGAATTCGCGAATGCGTTTACAATTCGAGATTTTATGTACGTCGTTGGTATTTTGGAGTTTTCGATATTGCATCACGATACTAACAACGATATAGTAAATACTATGATACTGCTAAAACTGATAAATAAAAAATCTGTCAGTGTTCGTGGCATGTTTTATTTAAACAGGTCCGGGAGTAGTACAACAGCTACTAAACGAACTCGAATGTAAGGTCAAGGCCATCGAGGACAAGTACAAGGGAAAGGTTGATGGCAAGGTGAGAGATAAGAGGTCGAATAATCGAAAAAAGCCAGTAACACAATCTATTTGTTGCCGTGGAAAAATTCTAAACTATTTAGAATATTCCTTTATTTTTGCCTTTATTGTTTTTAAAACCACATTGAAACAAAATAAATGAAGATTAATTCAATTGCTTGTGTCTTGTAGACCGGCGAACACTATTTACTCTTTGTAGGGTTTCAGCCGCTGTGCTTTTTCAGATCCGATAATGCTATCATGTTGGTTTTGTTTCACCAGATCCAGGGAAAGTTCCGGACGGGGTCGGGAAAACCAGGGGAGGTAATCGTCAAGATACGTCAGGAGGAGAAAGCTGGCATGATTGTAACGGGGACCCGAGGACAAGGCAAATTCCGGAGGACGGTCATGGGAAGCGTTAGCGATTACATCGTGCATCACGCGCATGTGCCCGTGCTCGTGTGCAGGCAAGAAAAGGACTTGAAGGCATAGCATGGATTGCGAAATTGTATAAGATATAAGTAATGTATTTAATTGGGGCCGTATTCCACTGTGTTGTATACATTGACGTGGACCATGTCATTTAGGTCTCTTTGAGCAAAAGTACCTGAGTTTAGCATCTGACCGGAACCTGATCGGCCTCTCTACACGTGTGTAAAGAGGCCGCTCAGATTCCGGATCGACCATTTTTTAAATTTAGTTTTGCGATTATTTGTTTTTCTAATGCTANGAAAACGTGACAGACGCTATTGTGCTCTCTTTGTGAATTGTATAATGGTGTACGGTTAAACTTGTCTAATACGACACCCATTGGGACACGATAGACAAGATCGAAAAGGGGACAGCATTATTTTGTTGGCCTATACCGGATGTCGGTAAGACAGGTTTTTCTTCAATATAAAAAGTCAGGTAACACCTGTGAAAAAGAAGCCTTTAGTAGTAGATCGCTATCAAAGCNCAGGTCTCTTTGAGCACAAGTACCTGACCGGAACCTGATCGACCTGTCTACACGTGTGTATAGAGGCAGCTCAGATTCCGGATAGGCCATTTTTTAAATTTAGTTTTGCGATTTTTTTCTTTTTCTAAAGGCTAAACTCAAGTGCCTGCGCTTGGAGAATAAGTTAGGTCCGAAACGTCAGGGGTAAAGGTCAGTGATGTAAATGGTCGTTATCTATGTGATGTACTTTAAAACGTGACAGACGCTATTGTGCTCTCTTTGTTAATTGTATAATGTTGTACGGTTAAACATGTCTAATACGACACCCATTGGGACACGATAGACAAGATCGAAAAAGGGGCAGCATTATTTTGTTGGCCTTTAACCGGATGTCGGTAAGACAGGTTTTTCTCCAATATAAAAAGTCAGGAAACACCTATGAAAAAGAAGCCTTTAGTAGTAGATCGCTATCAAAGCTTAGAGTCTCGTTATTTGTTCGTAATTTATCACTTGTCTAATTGAATTAGATATTCGCATCATTCCCGTTTATTGATTTGTCGAGACATACATGTATCAATAAACGGAAACAATGCAAACATCTCATTTAAATTAGTATACATGATTTGTCATTTTCTTTTTTCTTTTTTTAAAGTAGACACACGGATAAAACCTTTGTAAGCGGCTCTATCAATTGTTTTAACTAGCGGCCTCCTTTGTGGCAGCTGTCACTTAAACTAAACTGAAATTTCTAGAAATGAGAAAGTGAAAATATGAGCAGATTTTAATATTTGGATAAGAATTACTTTCATTTCAAAACATTGAACAGGACTTTTGGTGTATTTACAAATGGTAGAAGTGGTCAAGTCGAGGATAGGGCGTTCAAAAATAAACATATGACGGTCGCAGTTCATTGGGGGATACTGATAATAACAATGAGTTGCTTTAATTCGCTTTACCCCCACTTTACCCCCACTTCCCTTGGCTGTACTCGTTCATCCGATAGAAACGTTATGATATTTCAAAAAATATGATATCACTAAAATCTGTAATGGATTATTATTTGGAACGTTAACATTCTGAATGTGTAGAAACTTTTTTCTTCTAAACATTTTCTTCGAGTTGGAAGAAACCTTGTTTTATATTTTATCACTACATTCATAACTTCTATTTACCAATAAAATCACAAATATAGAAATAATGGTATCTTTGTTTATACTTGTTGCTTTTTAAGAAATAACCAACATATGTGTGTGTACCCTCATTCGACAAAGGAAACCAGTCCCGCGGCTCGCTTGTGTTGACATTTACGGGGAGGTTTTTGGAAGATCGTTGCACGTGCATTGTCTGTTCACAAATAATACATGCACGCGCGTAGTCAACCGTTTAATAATTCATGATTATTAACCAATCAAAAGTGTCGTTACATCGGAGACGTGTTAGACAAAGAAGACCTGCATTAGAAGCTAATCAATCCAGTACCGGTAAACTGGAATGTTCACTTTCAAGAAACATGGTACTAAAATACAAGAGCCATATTACTCTTACGTAATTATCATTCCCAGTCATCCAGAGTTTCCATAACACATTCCTCCAGACAAAGAATTTTCACAAATCACATTTGCCTAGGCCGTCAGAAACTGATGTAGACGATCATCTATAATTACTCCACATTTAATTTGGAACTTTGAATCAATCAAAGTTCAACACTGAAAGGTCAAGCCACGTGCTGAATCTGGGATTTTCTTCCGTGTCTTTTGCTTAAGGGACGTTGGAGAAATCTAGAAAAAATCTGTTTCGGATGATAAAACCCCCCACAAAATACAAAAAATACCGATATGGAGGACATTTGGAAGACGAAACTTAGATCTGTAGTTTTCCACTGTATGTCCCGTAGGGGGCGATAATTTTGGTTCACCTGTAGAATTGGGGTCAGTTGAAATGTAATTCTGTTCATGTAAATGTGTACAGATATGGAAGCACACATGCAATCCTTCTCTGTCTGTTTTGCAGTAGTATAACCCTGTGTCAACGCACAATATCCGGATGGCACCTGTACTACTTACCATCCATCGAATCGAGATTTTGAAGTCCGTAGCAAAAACAGGAAAACAGAAGCAATATGTATAAGTCAAAACAGATAACTCAGAAAATAACACTCCAAGACAAGGTATTTCATACTACAATCAGTGTTGTTGGTGATCAGTTTAATACTACATCGTATACAAAGTAACAATTGAAATTCAACTGTATAAAATTATCTCAACACTACTTATTATGCATATTTTTGTATAAGTGTCGTGTTAAGACAAAGCGAATTCTATGTGAGTGAAAGTCTGACGAAACGTGTTCATGATTGGCTCCATGTTATCCGTGTTGGTCTGTGTTGTCTTGTTGCTGGTCATCATGGGCACGGTCGGAGTGCTGTCCATGATGGCCATCAGTGTCATGGTGACCATGTTGGTCGTGATCGTGATGGTGAGACTGGTGGTCGTCATGGTGACCATGTTGGTCGTGATCTTTATGGTGACCATGTTGGTCGTGATCTTCATGGTGAGACTGGTGATCGTCATGGTGACCATGTTGGTCGTGATCTTCATGGTGACCATGTTGGTCGTGATCTTCATGGTGAGACTGGTGATCGTCATGGCTTCGCCCTATGACACAGCACGCTAGTCTTGGTCCCTGAGTACCATGGCCGGTATCGACGTCTTGATGAATCTGTAATTGATGTAAGAACATACGTAGGTATTTTAACTATCGTTTAATTTGTTACGTATCCTGCAGTCACGTGCAACTTTGATTGACATTAAAGTAAAATTTCCGTTGTTTAACATCATAACACTACTTGCGTATTAACAAAAAAACACCAATGACAGTATCCTCAAATATCTCGTTCGCTGCTATTTATATGCTTTGCATAAAAAAACAACATTAAACTTGGAAATTCTACCTAACCATTTTAATAATCGGCTTACAGGTTCGTCCCCAGTGATTCCGACACAAGGAGTCAAATATGCGTCTTCTAACTCTAAAGAGGTTCAGACGCTGTCAAACGGTCTAGACCTTGCGACAATCACGTGACTACTTGCTTGATTAACACTACTCACGACTAATGATCGGCCGATGAGTTGATGTAAATCAGCATGGATCGTCTGGTTGTTGACATATAACCCTTGTTCGTCACCAGCTATGTTTCCTACGTCTCCTACATGACTGAAAATAAGATAAATACGTAACCCTGAACAGCTAGTACATTGGGGACTTGTATATTAGTATTGATTTTCTAGCTGTTAAGCAAAATACTGAAAACAGTATATTTATGTCTGTCAACGAAATTGTGACACACAAGACAGTAAGACTCTTGAAATAGCATATAAACAATGCTGTTAAATATCTTGGTTGTAATAATCATCATAAAATATTTCTTGCGGTGTAAACATCGTGGTTTGAACATAATCTTACATTTTATCTCGCACTCATTTTAAAAAAAATTCGAACAGGCAAAAAAACACCGGTAATAAACAGGGCTTACCTATCAGTGCTGCCAGCAATTCCGTGTTGTTTATTGGTAGGGTTGTAGTGGTCCCCGAGGGAGTCACAACACCGCTCCATGTCCCCGCTTTCATGTGCATGTATAGCGTGACTTACGCTTGGCTTCAGATTCCTGAGGTTGTAGTGAACACTCACTTCATCTTCGTGGGGCTGAAGTTACAAGTTATTTTATAACAGTATATTGACATTTCCATTGCAAGTTCCTCTATGAGCGGAATGTAACCGATTTCCGTTCACACCGGCATGCAATAAAAAAAACGTCGTTCAATCCTGATAAACGTTATGATAAGTAACGGTATTACGGGTATCGTTGTGGTAAGTACTGGTGTTGTTGTTTATGTTGTACCCTTAAATGTTTCTGTCTTATAATAGGTACTACTGCGGCTTGGTTTGTTTATACGGCCTTTGGTGTTGTTGTTGTGGAATTGTTTTGGTTTCAATTTGTACTCGTAATGTAGTTGCAGTTTTTGATGTCATATTGGTATTGTGATAATGGTATGTTCTACTGTCTGCATGCTGTATAATGATCAATCGGTAAATATACAGTGATGAAACCCCTATTGAAAACTGACCCAGAAAGTCAAACAAAATAAACATGTCCTTCCCAAATAAGATTTTTGTTTTCCATTTTGGGCTCATAATTTGTACTTAAGAACCAAAGATTGAATCTAGAGCATTCCGAACATATGTAGAGGTACAGCAAACGAGGAAAGGTTTCAATTTAACAGCGTAACATAACTTTACACGGCTTAAACTGATATCTTTTTTAAAGCTAGTATTTTGGTTTAGTATTAAACGTCCTATCAACAGCTATGGTCATTTAAGGACGGCCTCCCCGGTGTGCAAGATGCATGCGTGTGCGTTTTAGGAGGCTGCGATATGTTCGTGTTTGTCTCCTTGTGATAGCGCGGAACTGATGCTGACTTTATAGTGCTACCTCACCGAAAAATACTGCCGAAGACACCCAGCAGAACACCCCACCTGGTCACATTATACTGACAATGGGCGAACCAGTCGTCCCACTCCTAAATTGCTGAGTTTAAGCAGGAGTAGAAACTACCATTTTCACAGACTCTGGTATGTCTCGGCATTGTCAAGGAAGACATTAGGAAGAAGAAAGTTGTTTAGAAAAAATTAGAAAATATAAGATCCCAAATTTAGTCGCCTCTTATGATCATGCAATGGGGGCAGCAGGTACAATTCTTACGCGCTACCTGCAGGGACCTACAATAAGGAAATATAATTGGTTTCAATGGCAAAATGTTATCCAAAGACAGTTTACGTTCGAATGTGGCCTGTATATCAGTATAACTGGTATTTAGAGATGATTGGCATAAAGACAAATCTTAGAGCTGTTTACAAGTGAAACTCTAAATCTTTTCTTACCTTCTGAGTCAACTCGATATGTCCTCTGATCTTATAAGTGAGATCGGGAGTCTGCATGTTGGGCATCATCTCACAGTGTGCGTGGACCTCTGTTTAATATAAAACTACTATTAGTTATAAGTGGTTAAGCTATTTTAACTTACAAAGGAAACAAAGTGTAATCTAACGTCTCAAGAAATACAAATATATGTGTGTATTAGGATAGTCTCATTGTTTATATAATTGTCAGTAATTGGTTTGGTTAAAATCTGCTCAAAATGGAATATATTTGGGTTAGGGAAATACAACTTTAGAGACTTGCTCCACAATTACATGGGTCTTACCGTGTTCCTCATGGACCGCTTCTGAATGCTTTTCGCAATGACCATGTCCCTCTTCAAGCTTCATGTTGACATAGATGTTATGGGCATTTGGGTAATGGTTGTCATGGTGTTCGCTGTGATGGTGTGTGTTGTGGCGATGTTTATGATGGTGTTCGTTGTGATGGTGATTGTCATGATTGTCATCTCCGGTGTTTGTGGAATCGCTGTCATCGGCGATGTTGGTGGAATCGTTGTCATTGGTATGGGTGCTTTGGCTGTCATCGACATGGTCATCGTGGTCAGCATGTGTATTAGTAGAGTGGTCATCGCCATGCTCATCGTGGTCAGCATGGTGGCCGGTGTCGTGATCGTTATGATCATCGTGGTCAGCATGGTGGCCGGTGTCGTGATCGTTATGGTCATCGTGGTCAGCATGGTGTCCGATGTCGTGATCGTCATGGCCATCGTGGTCAGCATGGTGGCCGGTGTCGTGATCGTCATGGTGATCATGATGGTCGTTTCCTATATGAATATGAACCCCATGGCTCTGCTCCTCAAGCTTGTGAACTTGTTCAGATAACTTCTCTACTTTAGCTTTTAGTTCTGCAACCTCGTCAACTATAACTGTACCTAGAAACACAACACAAATACTAAGACTACAAACCATCGAGACTGGGCAACACATCAACATCAATACGAGATTAAACACCAGCAACAATTCGATTCGAGACAAATTATAACCAATAAGACACTGTACACCAACAATATGAGGATCAACTCCACGGCGGAAAAGGATGAATAGCGATACAATAATGTCCAATTATATTCTAATCAATATTATAATAATATGTAATGTCTTTTGAAACTTACAGCCAACATAACGAAGAAATTTTTTGTTCTAATTTGTTGACTAAACCGGAAACAGTCAAATCGTTTTCAACTTTATGATTGCATTACATGAGTGACCACCCCCAATGAAATCCTGGTCGATTCAAAATTTCAGGCAACTTGAAACCCGAGAAACTCATAAATGCACACTTATTAACAAATATAACACAAAAATTACATAAGATTCCCTCTTTTATCTACCGAATTAACTTACTTCTTCTCTGCCGTAGTCTTCTGCCATCGTTTGGGATGATCAACAGCAAAGCCACCAGAACTACGGTCCCAAACAACTTCATGTCTGCTATTTCTGGGTACACAGTTAAATGGGGATAGCCAACAAAACACCCGGCTTTATAACAGATAATATCTATATCTTCACGTGACTGAACAGGAGGTATGTGTATTTACGCGATATGACGAGAAAAAGCGAGATAACAGATACCATTGTCCGTAGTCTTGTCTTTTGGGGTCATCAACCCATTGTAAAGTGTGAAGGTCCTGTAATCACAAATATCTACACTACGAAACCTCTTAATTATCTGAAATTCCTAAATAAGACAAACACCGATCAATTTCAAATGAACTAATGAGTAAAGTGTGTATGTTATGAACTGTGCCACAACTGACGAGAATATTGTGGCTATCGTGGTTGCGACAATCCTCGGAGACTAAGAAATGAACGAAAGGCTCACACAGATGACCACACCTGTAAAATTCCGTAATACAGAATTCCAAAAAATCGATGCACCAAGGATCTGTTTCTACCTCCAGGACTCGTCATGATCGGTATAATGCTAAAAAGTAGCGAGAAAGGTGAAATCCATACTGGTCTGAAGTTCGAGATTTTATGTACATCGTTGGTATTTCGGAGTTTTCGATATTGCATCATGATACTAACAACGATATACGTAAATACTATGATACCGTCAAAACTGATAAATAAAAAATCTCTCAGTGTTCGTGGCATGTTTTATTTAAACAGGTCTGGGAGAAGTACAACAGCTACTAAACGAACTCGAATGTAAGGTCAAGGCCATCGAGGATAAATACAAAGAAAAGGTTGATGGCAAGGTGAGAGATAAGAGGTCGGATAATCGAAAAAAGCCAGTAACACAATCTATTCGTTGCCGATGAAAATTCTAAACTATTTAGAATATTCCTTTATTTTTGCCTTTATTGTTTAAAACCACATTGAAACAAAATAAATGAAGATTAATTCAATTGCTTGTGTCTTGTTTCCCGGCGAACACTATTTACTCTTTGTAGGGTTTCAGCCGCTGTGCTTTTTCAGATCCGATAATGCTATCATGTTGGTTTTGTTTCACCAGATTCAGGGAAAGTTCCGGACGGGGTCGGGAAAACCAGGGGAGGTAATCGTCAAGATCGCAGTCGAGGAGAAATCTGGCATGATTATAACGGGGACCCGAGGACAAGGCAAATTCCGGAGGACGGTCATGGGAAGCGTTAGCGATTACATCGTGCATCACGCGCATGTGCCCGTGCTCGTGTGCAGGCAAGAAAAGGACTTGAAGGCATAGCATGGATTGCGGAATTCTATAAGATATAAGTAATGTATTTAATTGGGGCCGTATTCCACTGTGTTGTATACATTGACGTGGACCATGTCATTTAGGTCTCTTTGAGCAAAAGTACCTGAGTTTAGCATCTGACCGGAACCTGATCGGCCTCTCTACACGTGTGTAAAGAGGCCGCTCAGATTCCGGATCGACCATTTTTTAAATTTAGTTTTGCGATTATTTGTTTTTCTAATGCTAAACTCAAGTGCCTGCGCTTGGAGAATAAGTTAGGTCCGAAAGGTCAGGGGTTAAGTCAGTGATGTAAATGGTCGTTATCTATGTGATGTACTTTAAAACGTGACAGACGCTATTGTACTCTCTTTGTGAATTGTATAATGTTGTACGGTTAAACTTGTCTAATACGACACCCATTGGGTCACGATAGACAAGATCGGAAAGGGGTCAGCATTATTTTGTTGGCCTTAACCGGATGTCGGTAAGACAGGTTTTTCTTCAATATGAAAAGTCAG